TATAATCTTCTACTTTATTATTTTATTACTGTATTTTCGTGCTTCATTCCACTTCTTAATAGTAGCATCTGCGTACATTCTTTCATCTTTCTAGCTAGATATATTTGAGCTCTCATTCTTGTTGAACATATATTTTAAAATTTGACTCAACTTCTTATGTGCTTGGACCACTTAATTTCCTATATGGCTTTCATCTGTGGTGCAGGTGACTTTGTTGCACTTTTAAATGTGACCTCTGATGAAAAGATTTTACCTACAACATATGGGCAGTTGAGGCCTCCTCTTGGCAGTCATCGGCTGAAGGTTAGGTTTCATTGTGAAATTTTAGTTATTGTCAACTGGAAGATGGTTTAGTTATAAGATGGATCTCTTGTGTGTGTTTTCTGTTGTGTAATATTTTCCTGATTTCGTTTTTATTGCTGATGGCTTGTCTTAGATTGTGGAGTTCATTGCTGTCTTGCTGAAAACTCGGAGTGAAGCGACAGGAAAAGAACTAGCCAGCTCAGGAGCTATTAGAAGAGTCCTTGATCTGTTTTTCGAGTAAATACTTCTCCCTTTATCGATTACAAAATTTTAAATTGTTCTGTATTTCTGCGCGTCTCTTATGTTTTCTTGGCTTAATTCATCTTTTAATTGTTCATTTCAACTATGCAGGTACCCGTATAATAATGCACTGCACCATCAGGTGGAGAGTATAATAGTATCGTGTTTGGAAAGCAAAAACGATGAGATTGTTGACCATCTTCTCCGAGAGTGTGATTTGATTGGAAAAATTATTAAAACAGAGAAACAGCCAATTCTTTCTGGTGATAAGCAGGTATGAATTGTTTCGCACATGCATATTGGTTTCCCCAATTCTGTGAGGCAAATGTGGAACATCATATTGTGTGGTTGAAGCAATTATATTATACCTCTTTTTTTTTTATCAGATTCAAAAATGACCCGTTATATCCACTTTTCCACTTTTCTAAAGGATAAGATGTAGTGAGCTTTAGATATAACTGATTCTGCTTTCATGCAGCCAACATTAGCTGCTGCTGGAAAGCAGGCTCCACGGGTGGGAAATGTTGGTCATATCTCAAGAATTTCAAACAAGCTTGTTCAGCTGTCCACTAACAGTAACCAGATAAAGACTTTACTTGAGGTTCGTTTTCCAGCAACAGTAACGTTTTATTGTAACAATGATTGCAGAATTACTGTTAACTGCAGTATACCATCTTTCTACATATATCGATTTGAGTTGTGATAATTGGTGTGTGTGAATATCTATTTTCTTGCATCTATTACACCACTCTGTTCTGTACTCGTGGGAGTAAATTAAAATTACTTTGTATTCTCTCTATAATGAAATGTCCCATGTCTAACTATTTTTCTTTCTAATATTGAGGCATCCTTTTACGTCTGATCTTGTGTACAAATAGTTGCATTTTGTTTGGTACATACAACATTCTGATGCGTTTTGTTTTTCTTTTCTAGGAAAATAACGATTGGGGTGAGTGGGAAGCGAATACGTTGCATGATCGAAATGCAGTTGAGAATGTGTATCGCTGGGTTTGCGGGTATGTCTTTTATCAAACATTTATGGCTTCTTGTCACACCTATTGATGCAACTACAGTGATGCATTTACAATATCAGTATTTACTTGCTAGGTTGTCTTAGTAAACTTGGTCCAAAAACATTTTGGGTTTGAAAAATAGATGGCACAGTATCTAATTGTGCCAGTACTGATTTTGTCTCTTGATAATAATTTATTTGATTTGGCATGCAGACGCCCGACTGCATTACATGATAGAACTAGGGACAGTGACGATGATGAAGTTCATGATAGGGATTATGATCTTGCTGGGTTAGCTAATAACTTGAACCAGTTCAGATACAACATGCAAGAGAACAATGGTGCTGGAGAGGTAGTTCTTAGTCTCTCTGATCGTATCTCTTAAAATTTTGGCTGAATCTAAATTCCATGTTTCTGGTTCCAGGAGCATGGTTCCAATGACAGAGATGAAGAGGTATTCATTATAGTTATATGATGTTCTACGTATAAAGAAATCACTGTCTATGATAGGCCTGACTGGAACATATTCTGTAGGATGTCTATTTCGATGATGAATCTGCTGAAGTTGTTATATCATCTCTAAGGCTTGGTGATGAACAGGCAAAGTAAGCTTCCAAATCTAATTTATCCAATCCATGTACCAGATAGAAAAGAACAACGGGTTCTAAAACCAATGAAATGGTTTTTTCTTGATGCAGCAATTTATTCACAAACTCGAACTGGTTCACCTTCCAAGGAGATGAATTGGGTGAAAACACAGGAACAGGAGCTATTTCTTCAGAGGAAGCAATGGAAGATGTAAGCTTGAATGAAACTTCCGGTGGTGGAGATGAAGAAGACGAAGACTGTTTGATTACAGAAAGCAAGAACCCTTTTGTTGACTCAGCTGCAGCCACAACCTCAACCTCAGAAGCAGTCTCTGTAGACGCTGATATCGAGATTGACGAAGATGTGGGTACAGATGAATTGTCACCGGAATGGATTGAACGTGGTGATTCATCTTCATCCGTTCCACCGGTCACTACAGATCCATTCCCTGAAGATGATGTGAAGATGCCTGATGTGAGAATCCCAAACGGTTCTTCATCCTCGGAAGGTGAGATTAGCCCAAGATCACCGCCCGTACCTTCATTGTTTGGAAAGGACGTTGAGTTTGTGGGAGTTGAGCCAGAAGGAACCGAAAGGGCAATGGATCAAGCTCTCAAGGAAGGCATAGTGGGAGAAGCAGGGCCGATGAAGAGGAACACCGCCACAGCCTCGCCGGGGAAGGAAAGCCCCGATGATAGTATGCAGGAGTACAACGACACTAACTACTGGAAGGTTGATCAGGAGGTGACTGTAGTTGAATGACGTGACACAATCGTTGTCTGAATGATTGATGACGTGAGACATCATTGTCTGAAAGGATTCCCGAACAGAGACAGACAGGGAAGGGAAGGTACGTGTGAATGTACAGTACTACTAAGTCTTAAAGTCTTTAAGTCAAAGTCATCTTTTGTTTTTGCATATTTTACCAAGTGACTGATTTGCTCTTTTAGGTTTTTACAAATTTGGATGCTTTTGTTATGCCTTATCAAGGATTTATTTTACTTACTTTTTCTTTTTACGTTTGATTATTGGGACTCTTGTTGTAAAGACTTGCGTGAGGGTTGCACGTTGTTGGATAATAAAAACTCTGAATTAAAATGTCAACGGATATGGTTTTTGAAGCTATCCATTAGAGCATCCACAACGGGGTTTCTCATGGAGCTCTTTAAATTTTATGGATCAACTATTTACTGAAGAATCGAGTCTTTATTAAGAGGCTAAAGAGCCCCATAAGAGTTGGTCGCCCCATAAGAGCCGGTGTTTGTCACGTTTTAATTGGTGGAAAGTAGATTTATTGAAACGGAGAAAAATCTCTTTTTTCTTGGGACTTCTTTCTCAGATTTAGTATCGTGTCATAAGAGTCCCAACTTAATACCCCATGGTTGGAGATAATCTTATTTGTCTAAAGAATCATTTATGACGGGTATTTGTTTTCTTTTAAGGGGTACCCAATTTTTTTAGTAGGGTATGGATCAGTGGCGGATCTAGAGATATATTTAGCCTGGGGCACCATTTGGTTGTTTTAGTTTTATCAAAAATATTACATATATTATTTGTTATCAAAATATAAAATTTGTGATAAAACACAAATAAATATTTTAGATATATCAATACACATAATATCTTAATCAGTAAATGAATAAAAATCAAAATAAATTTAAATTTGACAGCTAAATAACGAAAGTTGGAGCTAAGTGTTTAATTAAATTAATGTTTGTAGTGGAAAATAAAAAGATAAAGTAAAAGAAATAGTGGCAATCGCCTAAACTCGAACCTAGGCATGGGGCAAGGCTGAGAGCACTCAACCAATAGTGCTGAATAATTGTAATTGAACATTCATACAAATTAAACGTTATAAAAGTAGCATGGGGCACGTGCCCCACCTCCCAAGTACCTAGATCCGCCCCTGGTATGGATATTAAAAATCTGTTACCTGAAAGGTTGGGTCGGAAATTCAATGGTACTCGTCCTGTGTCCACCCCTAGAGCATAGAGACCAACGAAAATTAACCTAATAAACCCTTTTAGAGTTGTACTCTTGTTGCTTTCAAGTCAGTGATTAAGGATTTTACCAACTAATTCATATCAGCTAGACCTTGCTAGAAACCATATTCTTAGACAACTGATGATATCTAGTCACATGCAACCTTCTGATTTAAACTCATTGTAATCTAAGATGGTTATAGCCGAAGATCGTTGATCGATATAGTATTTTTCTTTCTCTCGCAATACAAATCTATGAAAATTTATCTAAACAGCTGTATGGTAAATTATTCAATTAAAAAATGGTCATGACACCGAATTGCGGAATAAACTAAGTTGAGTTATGTCAGAAAATCAATTTTCTAATAAATGAATAGATTTATTACGGGCCTTACGGCGGATCTACATTATTAATTTGAAAAGGAAAGTTGAAGAATATTAATTATTTATTCATATAAAATTGAAACTAATGTCATATTATTTAAATATTAATAGTTATTTGAGATGGTAAGAGTACAATGCAAATTTTGATTTTGTTATGTAGTGACTAGTGAGTATGCAAATAATAACATTTTAATTAGATAAATCGTATTTTTTAATCAGTATACTTTAATTAGAATGTGTATTTTTTCCAAACAAAAAAATTCGGCATTAGACATTCAAATAAAAAATAAATAAAGAGTTTTTTTTTTGGGATTTTCTCCCTAAATAATAGATTGTGTAATTTGTATTATTAATTTGATGCCTTTCTAAATTATTACTACACGAATTCTTTAGGCCCGTGGGCCATAAAACCAAACATTACATCAATTAAAGCCCATTAATTCACGTCCCTCTAATCTTATAAAAGAATCATATACACATAACACGTCGTAAAGAAACCTCTCCTACTTGTGTATGATATATTCGAAGTCACCCGAACCTAGAGATAATAAATATCCATTCTCCACAGTTCAATCAGAGGCGAAGAGAGAATATTTTATCTTGGTGGTTGTAGAAGAAGAATCTCGAAGATGATAGAGGTGGTGCTTAACGATCGGCTAGGGAAGAAGGTGAGAGTGAAGTGCAACGAGGACGACACCATCGGAGATCTTAAGAAGCTTGTGGCAGCCCAAACTGGAACCCGACCCGATAAGATTCGGATCCAAAAATGGTACAACATCTACAAGGATCATATCACTCTTAAGGATTATGAAATCCACGATGGCATGGGTCTCGAGCTCTACTACAACTAAATCATCCGATCCGGTACGCTATTTTATCTCTATGTAATGAGACTTGAGATTTAGGGTGTGATGCTTTCGGAATTTGAGTTAAAAGATTACTTTCTTTATAATTTTTAGTTTGTTTGAAAGAATTATAAGATTAAAATTGAAATTGTTTCTTCATATACTTGTTTTTGAGTTATATATGATTACTTGTTTTTATTGAAATTGTTTCTTCATGTGATATATTATGGCTGAAATTGTAGGTTTTTACATCTATGAAGGAAATAATAGAAGACTTTCAGTGTTGAAGATTGAAGAACAGAACAAGTCCAAAACTCGACTCAAAGGCATGAATTCTATTCAATAATGAATAACGATTGCTAAAAAAATGTAAAATAATTGTCGTTGAAACTTGTACTATATGATTTGGGGTTTTTCTTAAAAACAATTAGAAAAAATCATACTAAACTAATCTAAAACTAAAACCATTTACATAAGATTTTATGTTTTGTCCCTGTCAATTAAAACCCTAATTTTCTAGTTGAATGATACGACTCTCAATGCTAAAAACCCTGAGAAACCGAAGCTATTCGGAGGCGCTATTGGGAGGAGGTGAGTTCCTCTGCCTTCTTATTTCCATAACCTTCCGATGAAAATTCGAGTGAACGTTTGGTTTGAAATCGGGACTTGAAGCAGGGCGGTACTCAGGTAGTAGCCGACCTGTTCTGTATCGCATTCCACATGCGTTACATAGCGTTCCCGCTCCTCTCGGTCCTTCCCTCCATAACGGAGTCTTTCTTGTCCCGCAATGTGAACAACTCTTGTCTGCAATGCCAAATTTAGAGTCAAAGAGATCTGATGGACTTTTGAAGTTTAGTCTTTTTTGTCTTCCTCGCTTGTTTCTAGATCGTTTTGGTCCATGAAAACGACCCTTTGTCGCAGTTGGCAGATTTGACGGTTTTGAATCGTTTGAATAATCGATAAATTTGTTGTGGTTAAGATCATCAAACTCTCGAGAATCCTCAAGCTACATGGTAGAAAGAACATTGATGAGTCTTATTTTCTTACAAAACTAAAACATGTTTAAGAGAGTTGAAAGAAACTCACTAGTAAATTGGAATCTTCTATGATCTCTCTAAATTCATCCGCAAAACCGTAAACCGAGTCCAAATCTGTGGGTAATTTATCAAGTTCGTTGACAGGGATGGGAAGTTGCTGCATGGCAGTCCCAAAATCTTCTTCTTCGTCTACAAAAACATCCTCACGACCCAACATTATTTTTCTTAAAGATAAGTTGACTTTATATGTATATAGCTCATATATATATCCTCAACAATAGAGTGTGGATAAAGTTTAAGGGAAGTCAATATTTTTAACTCTATATGTAATCTAATAGGAAACTTCCTTGCCTTAGAATTCTCCGGTCGAAAGAGTGACTATATCCAAAAAAAAAAAAATTGGAAAAACTAAAATGTGCGATGGTATATTTTAGATACTCTTTCTATGATTGGTTTCGGTTAACAAGGTTTTATTACGATCGGCTTGGTGAATTTAAACCGAGTTAAACCAAGGGACGAAGCTAGAGACGGTTAGGAGGGCTTTGCTCTCACAGTGTTTTCAGAATTGGGTCGGAGTTAATCAAATTTTAGTTTGGTTCACTGTGTTTTGGGTGTGAGAATGGTTTGATTTGGGTCGGTTTTTTATTCGTGTTTTGATTTGATTAAATTTCATCCGGTTAGGTCCTAAGCAGTTTGGATAAGGAAAATATATGACAACATCTATCTACTTTCTATATTATCCTTTTCAAAAAAAAAAAATCTACGTAATTAGTAAGAACAAATATTGTAGTAATCCTATCCTAAGAAAAAACGAAATTGACAAAAGGAATAATATGGAAAAAAAGATTCTATATTCTCACAGATATGAATCTAAAATTTGATTCGATGTACATATGCAATGTAAACAGAATTATCGTTCTGTTATTTAATGAAATTTACATGCAAAGAAAAAGATTATAGTTTTTTTTTCTCGTGAAAAAGATAATATAATATATTGGTAAGTAATATATACGGTTTCTCATAATATTTTAGACACTAAATGAACATTCCGAAAAAAAAATAAAATAATAAATAAATAAATAAACTTCTTTTTTTTTGAAAAATATAAATAAATAAATAAATGAACTTTCCAATGGCATTGTCGTCGTTAGATATGGACTGCGTCACTGCGCCCCTTAAACAAAAACCCAACGTCCCGACCCAAATTAAGTTTGACATACTCGTTGACTGACGTTCAAAGAAGTGTCGGGACCCCTTAAACAAAAACCCAACGTCAGTCAACGAGTATATCTTTTAAGATTTTTTTAAAAACTATCATTTAATACTTGATTTTAAAAATATAACCAATCTCCAGTCTCCACAATCGATTTTGCAGAATTTAAACCAACGGTGACGAAGGTTATAAATTGATGATCTCTGTAAGGACTTCACGGACAATGAAATTTTTAAAGCAGTTTGTCAAATTGGTGATGACAAAGCTCCGGGGCCGGACGGACTTACTGCTCGTTTCTATAAATCTTGCTGGGACATAGTCGGCAAAGATGTCATCAAAGAAGTAAAGGATTATTTTCGCACTTCATACATGAAACCATCTTTAAATCATACCAATATTTGTATGATACCGAAGATAACCAATCCTGAAACACTCTCAGATTATCGACCAATTGCCTTATGCAACGTTCTCTACAAAATTATCTCAAAGTGCCTGGTAGCTAGACTCAAAACCCATCTCGATACCATTGTCTCTGATGCTCAAGCCGCCTTCATCCCGGGTAGACTAGTCAATGATAATGTCATGATTGCCCATGAAATGATGCATTCTTTAAAGGTACGTAAAAGAGTATCTCAATCGTATATGGCGGTGAAAACCGACGTTAGCAAAGCTTATGACCGAGTAGAATGGAACTTTTTAGAGACAACTTTGCGATTGTTTGGCTTCAATGAACAATGGATTTCATGGATAATGGGTTACAGTTAGGTCAGTCCAATATTCGGTATTGATCAATGGAGTTCCACACGGAGATATCAAACCACAACGCGGGATTCGACAAGGGGACCCGCTATCACCGTATCTTTTTATCCTTTGCGCTGATATACTCAGCCACCTCATTGATTCTAGAGTTGCTGATGGAGATATTCGGGGGATACGCATTGGACTGGGGGTTCCGGGTATAACTCACCTCCAATTCGCGGATGATTCTTTATTTTTTTGTCAAGCCAATAGTAGGAACTGCTAAGCTTTAAAAGATGTTTTTGACATCTATAAATACTATTCCGGCCAAAAAATAAATATGACCAAGTCAACGATAACTTTCGGTTCAAAGGTCCATGGAACTACTCAGAATAGACTAAAACAGATTCTGGGAATCAAATATCATGGTGGAGGAGGAAAATATTTGGGGCTACCAGAACAATTTGGTCGGAAAAAGCGAGAAATGTTTGATTACATCATTGAGAGAGTTAAAAAACGAACTTCAAGTTGGAGTGCAAAGCATTTATCACCAGCCGGGAAGGAAATTATGTTGAAATCGGTGGCTATGGCGATGCCGGTTTATGTGATGTCATATTTCAAATTACCGGCCGGAGTTATTGAAGAAATAGAGGGCGTTCTCATGAACTATTGGTGGGAAAAGGATGCAAAGAAGAGAGGATTGCGTGGAAAAGATTGCAATATTCAAAAAAAGAAGGGGGTTTAGGATTCAAAGATCTATCCAAATTTAACGATGCTTTATTAGCAAAACAAGCATGGATAGTAATTCAGTATCCCAACTCTCTTTTTGCCCGAATAATGAAAGCAAGGTACTTCAAAGATGATTCTATATTAGATGCAAAACAAAGAAGTTACCAATCGTATGGATGGACATCTCTTCTCGCGGGATTGGATGTGATAAAGAAAGGAAGTCGATATCTTATTGGTGACGGAAAAACAGCTCGTCTAGGCAAAGATAATGTGATCGATGCTCACCCACCGCGTCCAATCAGAACCATAGGCACAGAAATAACGAATACAGTAAGCCATCTTATATCAAAAGAAGGTTCATTTAGATTTTGGAACAATCATAACATCTCTCAAGTCATTGATCCTAGTGATCATAGCTTCATTCACAACATATATCTTTCCCGAAATGAGCCTCCTGATAGACTAATATGGCATTATACTACCTCTGGCGCTTATACTGTTCGCTCAGGTTAATGGCTTCTTACACACGACCCTATGGATCCACAAACTAAACCAGCCATCCCGCACGGTTCAGTGGAATTGAAAAATAAGATTTGGAAACTTCCGATCATTCCGAAAATCAAACACATGTTGTGGAGGATAACATCACGAGCTATACCCACTCGCTCTAGATTAACTTTAAGAGGAATGAAAATTGACCCACATTTTCCGCGTTGTCCATCTGAAGAAGAAACGATCAGCCATGTCCTGTTCAATTGCAATTTCGCACATATAACATGGCGTCTTTCCAATTCTCCAGTGTTGAATGGACATCAATTCTCAGATGACTCAAAGGAAAATGTAGTTCATATAGTAGAGTCTTATGGCAACCAAAATCTTACTGAAACTCAAAAACTTCTTCCATTTTGGCTTATGTGGAAACTTTGGAAGGCTAGAAATAAATTGGTCTTTAATAACTTCAGAGAAAGCCCAACACGAATCGTTTTACAAGCACAAGCCGAAGTGGAAGAATGGTTGGGATCACGATCTGCAATACCTTCGGAAACAAGGCAGCCTCAAACTCAGAAATCCACTTGGACAAAACCACCTTTTTCCTTCGTTAAATGTAACTTTGATGCAGGTGTTGATAGTAATTCTTCTCGGGGCACTGCGGGTTGGATAATTCGAGATCATCAAGGGGAAGCTAAAGCATGGGGTTCATCAAAACTAGCGCATATTTCTTCTCCGTTGGAGGCAGAAACAAAGGCATTGTTAGTGGCTATGCAGCAAGCTTGGATTAGAGGGTACAAGAAGATTCAATTTGAAGGAGATTGCGAGATCCTTATCAAGGCGATCATAGGCCTTTCATCACATAGTGAGATCGCAAACCTTTTACTTGATATTGATCTGTGGTCATCTAGATTTTCTTCGGTTTTATTCACCTTTGTAAGACGTCACTGTAATAGCATAGCACATTGTCTCACTTCTTTTGCTTGTAACAACACAGAGTTCTATTCTGACTCGGTGAATCAGCCTTTGTGGCTCAGAAACATGCTTTGTAACGATTCAAGTTAATCAATAAATTCAGTTTGCAGAAAAAAAAAATATATAACCAATTATAAAAAACTGCATATTACAAATAATCATTAAATATCATATATATTAAATGTTGCATATAAATTTGTAAAACATCCTATAGAATGAAACAACATAAAATTTCTAAAACATCCTATAAAATGAGACAGAGGATGATCATCTTTAGCTTTTTCGAATCTATCATAAATTCATAATTGACTTGTGAACTAACTTAGAAAGTTCATATTTGTTGAATCTTGAATCTTGAATCTTGAATCTTGAATCCATAGAAACCTCTTATTTGTTTTCACCTTACGATGTACTTCACTATCATTTGCTTCACTGCCTCTCGGCAACAAATCTTTCTCAAGTTTTGTATATATGTCTTTATATACGTTGACAAAAAAAGAGTAATAATTCCTGTAACTTAGAAACGCAGTCAAGTATTTAGAAGTCAGTAAAACGTCACCCTTTGCGAAAAGGAGAGTGAAACAATTTTTAATGCATTTATATCTAAATGTCTATATTTCAAATGATTTTGTATTTATTCGTATTATATAATTTTATCCGAAGGTGGCAAGAGCATTATGAAGTTTGATGATTCATTTTACCATATAAATTGTATCCACTTTGTTATTCCCAAAGTTAAATAGAACCCTGAAATGATGACAAATGGTGAAATTTTTACAGGATGGTCGGATTAGTTACTGTCCTACAAATTAATATAAATTCATTAATGTAAGTTGCCACCCATTGATACTAACTAAGAGCCAGCAATCTGTGTAATTAATTTGTTATACTTTATAATTGAATCCTTCAAAGGGTTAATTATTAATGAATCAATTGGATTTCAACTTTTAGTAGTGGAAGAAAGTTCACAGTGCTAACATTTACTTTCTTTACACTAAAAGTCTAAAACAAAGTAATCTTCTGAAAACGAATATCTAATCAATTTCATCGTAATTATGTGGGTGATTTTTCTCTTACCAATCTAGCAGAGACATGTAGTCAAGTCTCACCAAAATTACTCTATGATCAAGACGGTAAAATTTTCTGACCCCTCGAAAGGACCAATACATTGTTAGTCCCGGCCATTGGATCCACGTAATAGTGTCTCTTAGGGGCAAAATTCATAGTCATTACCTAGATTTTATAGTATACAAACCATTTTATGCGCCATTATTGTAGGACCACGAAATCCCGATTTGAAAAACAAAGAGAGAACTTTGTAAAGCGATTTAGGAAAGATGATTTTCGAAAACGAGTGAAGGCGAGATATGATATCTTTTTCCGTAATCCAAACTAGCTCCTGCAGTGTGGCGGTTTTACGAGTAGCGGATCGCAAAATACAGACCGATATCGCAAGCGGAATCTATGAATAATCGGTAACAAATGTCTTACGACGACAATCTGTTCTTTGGGAGATGGAATATGGGAAAGTCCTCCTTTGACAACCTAATCGTCCGACAAATCTCAAAAATTCAATTCGAAAAGTATCCTATGCACAAATTGTAATTGCTCAGGTGTTTGAAAAATCTTAATTACTTTTGGAAAAGCACCACTAAATATATTGCTAATCCATAAAGTAACGTGGGTTTTCCCTATTCGTAGTGCCAATAATAGACAACCATTTTTCAACCAATTTCATCATTTTGTCATCACAATTCTTTCCTTCTTAAGAAAAAAATAATTCTCCAATAAGAGGCCTCTCCCACTTGTGATTGCCTCACCACTAGCAGCGTCACATCACACCTAAATAGTATAGTTTTAAAATATGATCTCAAATAGTCAACCCACCATAACAAATACCTAACTCTCTCATGCATGTATAAATATCAATGTCTTGAACTCTCAATCTTTTTCCTCTTAAGAGTACTTAGCTAAACCCATCAACGCTTGTCTTAATTAGTTGCCAAGGTAAGTTATACTCATTTCATGTCAATATAATAAGATCTTGAAGGTTTTATATATGTTAAGACTAATCTTTACATCTTTTGTAGCTCATAACATAGAACCGAGATGGGGATAAAACCTAAGTATATTGTGGTTGTTATCATGGCGATGATGATCATGATAAGCTCATGTTTGGCTGCGAGGAATATTATTCCCCGGGAAAATAATCAAGAAAGCGAAAAAATATCTCGAGAGATGATCATAGGGAAAGAAGAAGATTCTACTGAGAAAATAGAGCACCCAAGAAGCAGCGTGGAGAATCACCATTACATCCCAAGACAAGATTTCAACTACTATGTACCTGGAGGCGATAACAATGGAGGTGGTGGTGGTGGTGGATAACTCAAAACAAATCGGGAAAACGATATCGATATGAATATATAGATGTTAAAGAAAAAAATATTATAAAAATAAAACCTATGAATATGAAGCAATCCTTATATAAATATGAATCCTTTAATGTTTTATTAAGCATGTCTAATTATTATCCTCTATTAGTGATGTTTGAGTATTGTATTAATTTTTCTTTTCCTATGTATAAAAGAGTAATTCTATTTGGAAAAAAACGTATTTTAGCATTTTCTGGCCATCGATGATCATCTAACTGTCAGAGTCATTTGCCTTGTAAACTTGAGGCCAAAACCGGAGTTCTTTAAACAAAACTGTTGATGCTCAAATCACACAATAGAATTTATGTAAACGTTTTAAGGGAAATGACGGAGCAACAACAACTACAACAACCACAAATTGAGCTTGGGAAGGAGGAGACGATGGCGGTGGCTAAGAAAGCCTGAGTCTTTAAAATAATTAAAGTGTAATGATTGGAGATTTAAGAGTGTTCAGTTATGATGCATTCTACCTTATCTTCAACATTCCGTCATTGCCAAAAGTGATAAGATACATATATGTAACCAAGAAATATGTTGAAAATGTTATTAGTTGATATTGTGGTTGAAAGTTTTACTCATATCTCAGTTAAACATATCCATGCTTTATGCTTAGTACCATTTATCACTTTGATGTTTACTGTTATTTTTTGGTGAATAGTAAATACCATGTTATAGGTGACTCTTCAGTTCATAACTTCATAGCTGTTATCCTTTTCTTGCAGTTTCCAAAGTACAACATATATGGTTGCATTGATTGTCTGGCGCTGATGATATGTGCTCAACTGCAACATCTTAAATCTTCAAAAGGGAAGGACACATCTGGTTAGTATTGAGATGTTTCATATATGTCTGTAGGGTTGATAATTTCCAGAGTAATGAATAAATTGTATCCTGATCTGTAGGTGTCCTAGATTACATGATCCATTGTTAATAAAATACACAAGTAACTGCTCGTCTATCCGAAAGCTGAGTACCGAACACCTAACCTGGTGGAAATCCTCTTCCTATTCCATTTCGTCTATGCATCGCAAATGTGATCATATATCAGTGCTTGTTAAAATTGCTCGAAAAGCTCTTCCGCCTCTTGTTCATTCCCTTGAGGTCAAACTTCTTACACACTCATTCCAGACTTGGCTAAATTTGTTTGCATTTTGTTTAGTTTTCAACAAAATTCCTGAATTTGTAGCAGGTCATATCTTTACCTGAGGTCCGTGCAGCTTGTATATTTGTATTATTCTCGGCTGCCATGTACCATCTGAAGTCCATACTTCTTCCTGTCTCATCTGATCTACCGAAACTTTCCCTGAGATTTCTTGAAAAAGGACCCGAAACTTATTTCAAACATGTGTAGTGTGTACATTAATCTTATGGAAGTAGACAGAGAACTTCACTTTAATTAAGACATGAAACTTCTTTTCTCGCGAGACTACTGTCTACAAAACTATATAGAATAGTATGTTTTGGTAACTAGTTATGGAATCTCTAGCTACTAGAAACTGCATTTTGTTTTCGGGTATAAGACTGCATCAAACTAAACATATAAACTCTACAAATGATATAGAACTGAATAGAGATATGCGTTAACTAAATAAGAAAACATGATTAACTAAAAAGAGTGAGTCAACACAGGTAGATACGATTCTCTGCAAAAGTACTCATTACATCATTACCAAAGCTAGATTAGATAAGAACATCATAATAAATACATAAAAGACATTGATCCATTGCTAATAACTATCCCTTCTCTCATTATTCTACTCTCTTGTCTTCCTCCTCTTAATGCCCTTGATCACTCTTTCTTCTCATTGTCTTCTTCTTCTTCTGTTTTCAGCTTCCCTGATGTCTCTTCCGTTTCTTGTGTCTCTGTGGTTTTGGCCTTTTCGTAATGGAATGTAGGTTGCGCTTCTTTGTTACAGCAGGAACAGATATGCTTGACATTACTGATGCTTGACTTGAGTGGCTTTGCATCATAAACACTGAGATCCTCAACATGATCGACAAAGGCATACACTGTACCATGATTCTCAGGCGCTTCAAGGTTAGCTCCAAAACCTTGGACTTCAACACTTTGTAGAGTGTTCCTTTCGGGATTGAAGTAGAACACATAAAAAGGTTTACATACATGCTTCATGGACAACACGATATCACCTGAACCAGTCACTCCAGCAACTGAAAAATCATCGCATGAATCAAAGACTTCATTCTCCGGCAAGGTGTACACATGTTTCGACCATTCATTTTTCTCGACATCCTCTAAAACCCACATGCGCAACTCAAGGATACGCCTTTCATCATCAGCATTGTTAGCAACATACTTCCAATCAATCGCACCTAATTTACCCTTGTAGTTAACCAAAACCAGTGTAATAGTATTAGTCGGGTGGTCCATCCTCACTGTTGCCAAAAACAACTCCATAACATTAGTCGGCTGTGTGTCAAAAACCAGTGGTCTCTCATTAGTTTCATGAAGCTGCTCAGAAAAGCAATCCGCTTGAATAAACTTAAATTCCTCCGACCTAAGATCAAAGCTAACAACCATACAAGACGACTCACAAGCTGTATCAGCTAAGTAATACAAAACCCCATTGATACATATCCCTTCACTCAAAGAACGATCATACGCATGACATTGAATAGTATTACTCCTCCAAGTGAGTTCTTCTCCAGTAGTTCCTAAAGTCAGAATCTGATGATGATCCCTTTGATCACAAAACACATAAGCCTCAGACAAAGCCTTGAATTGCTTCTCAATAGGATCAAACCCTAAAAAGCCTCGCGCCTTTCTATACCTCGCAAGGTCAGGTAAGGTCACATACATTCCGTTGATAGGGTTACAAATCACAGGCGATGATGCAACGTTTGAAATCCACATATCAGGGAAATAGATCAAACCTGAAGCATAGCTACAAATGTATCGACTAACGTCTCCTCCGAACTTGGTGTGATAATCGACGGTTACTACTGAAGGAGACGACGATGGTGGATTCTGAGGCTGTGGAGATGAGAAGAAGAGCCACTCACCTTTTCGTTCAACTGCGAATAAGAGACGTGGACGATTTGAGGATCTCCTTAGGAACAACTCGGTGAAATCTGGACTGTGAAGCTTCGACGCCCAGTGCTTTGAGAGGGTACGAAACATAGCGACGGACTTCGCCGGTAATCTCGAGAAGATATCGGTGATGAGATCTGTTGGGAGTGGTTCGACGTTTGCTCTTTTCTTCATCGGAATCGTAACAACTTTTTTCCGGAGCCGTCGCTGAAGATGGAGAAATTTAGGTCTACGAAATTTGGCGACTGGAGAGTGATGATCTTGACTGGAGAGTGAGAGTGAGAAAATGATAAGACTAAATTTATTGGGCTTTTGGGCTTTAGCGTAATCTCAGCCCATTTATTTCTAAAAGTGTCTACCAAACTAGGAAGTCGGCAAGAAATTGAAATTTTGAGTGGATTAACATTACTAATTTGTTCTATATTCTAATTTATTAATGTATAAGAAAATGAATTTATAAAATTAGTATTGAAAATTTTGCCTCTCTTTTGTTTTGCTGGTAATTCGGTGCTATAAAGTTCAAACTTTCATTTCGATTGTGTTACATATTCAATTCTTAAGCTTTTTAGTAAATATTATTTTTAATTTTACCTACTATTTAAATTGTATGGAAACAAATATGCATAAGCAAAATGTTTTGGAAACGAAAGAAAATTTTTCTAAAATTAGGAAGTAGATACTTTTTTTTTGAAACTACACAAATCCTAGACATCAAGAGAAAAATATATCAAATTATATATCATATATCCTTATATATACATATATATATATATATCTTAAATTTTTTAAAGTACAAACGTAAGTATCATATATATCATAAATCCTAATATTTCTAAATGATTTATTCTTAAGTTTTCAAATTAAAAGTATAATTCCAACGCGTTTCTAAAAAGAAAACGTGAGTATCCATCATGTGTCCAAATAAGTCTTAGGCGTTACGTTCTTCGAGTCAGTTCGGGTTGGATTTCGAGTAATTTGGGTATGAAATTTGATAACCATATAGGAACCGACTAAAAATTGGTTTGGTTTTGTTCAGTATGAGTAATCCCCTTCATTAGAGAATTTTCTAAGTTCCATCCACCAATCTTCATGCTCCACTAGTTTCACTAGGTTTCTCCTTCCCCTATTCTCTCCTTCGAAACTCCTGATGTGTTGTATTTTTAATGATTTTACCCCCTTGTTTTCATTCATTTTGATGCCTGAACATAGCATTTAGAGTTGTTTAAGTTTGCATTTGCATTGAGTTCATCCATATTAAATGTTGGAGTGAAAACCATGAAGAAGGGTATTTGGTGCTTAAAAAAATAAACAATGACCAAATGAAGATGAAGAAAGAACAAGAGAGAAGGTTATGCATGAACCAGAAGCATCTCTCCTCCTCCTCCGCCGATTCTTCTTCGATCCCATCGCTCCTCCGCCGATTCTTCTTCTTCTCCACCGTGAGCTTGAACTGGAAGACAAGCAAGTCCTCGGTCTCAGCTCTTTTGGCTGAGCCAAGAGGCGCAGTCACGCCGGATCAAGCTCCTGCACGAAGACGAGCCCGTTCCGCTTTTGTTGACTTGCAGATGCAGCTCGATCACTGCTTGTTCAAGGTTGCATTGACTCTTACTTTTATAGCAAAGTCTAACCTATACCAACAAAAATCTAATTTATTTCCTCTCTAATCATCTTAATTTGGTGACAGAAAGCTCCGATTGGAATAAGAACAGAGGAGGTAAGCAATGATTTTGTTTATTTGGTCTCTTCGAAGGAGATACAGAGCCAAAAGTAGTTTCACTGTTTGAGTATGGGTGATGTACAAATTCATTAGTCTTATTTTTAGTTTAAGGTTATTGAAGTGAGGTGACCAATTAGCCAATCACATGTTAGCCGTGAGGCTACTTCTTTGTGTGATTGGTCAGTATGTTACCAACATCAGTTTATTGTTTGTAGTCCAATTCTTGAGTAGGAGCTGAAATGTGCTCTCACTTTTGTGGCTGCTAACTGTACACATAAATGTTGCAGCTTTTCATTGTTCTCGTATTTGATGATAGGAAGCTTTAGTTTAGTTTGCGAAACTCTGCAAGCTTTTGTCCTGTGATATGTCTCCTTTTGTGTTCTTAGATTTATGGAAAAATTAGATTGGTGGAGGAGTAATATTACCTTTTGTAATCGTATGTTTTATTTTGATTTTGCTAAGAATTTTTTTTTTGTTAATGATACCTATACCGGTCTTACCACTGGAAAATTACCAGTATCATAAAAAATTTCAAACAATAAACAAATATTAAAATTAATACTAAAAATTTAATAATAATACTCTATGAATACCAACTATGTGCATGCTCTTAGATGGCTAAAAGACTGTTTTTCTTAATCGAATTTGGTTCATGTGAGAATCCTGAATATTGGAACCAAAATCCAAATGCATAGTCTCTCAGGATTCGTTTGTTTTTGGATTTTTTGGTTTGGGAAAAATATAACAAAGAAACCCAATTACAGTAAAACCTCTATAAAATAATAATGTTGGGACCATGAAATTTTATTAATTTAGAGAGGTATTAATTTATCGATAAATTAATAATTATTAATTTATAGAGAGATTTTACTAATTTTATAATTTCTTAAGAAATTTTTATCAAAAAATAAATTTTTTCTTTATAAGCAATATCTTTTTAAAACCAATTGCAAGTAAAGAAGCAATTATTAAGTTTAAAAAACAACACAAACTTTTTTCGAATAATAGAGTCATATTTCATTAAATTTTTACATATAATATTTTAAATATATATCATAGTAATTTATATATGACATATATAAATTTATATATATATATTAAGTTAAATATACATATATACATATATATATATATTGATAAGTTTATAGAATTATTAATTTATAATATAAATGGGACCATATGTTTACATAGGATTTTCAAAAAAATTATTATCTTATTAATTTATCGATTATTAATTTAGAGAGGTTATTAATTTATAGAGTATTAATTTATAGAGGTTTTACTGTATCTCTAGTCAAGTAAGGTAGGCGTTGTGGGAAACCGTGTTACGGTGGCAATAATATGACATTTTTTTAATAACATGGGTTAATTCACTCAACACCTATTGGTTTTGTTGGAAGTCGATAAGCCTAACAATTATTCTCTAAACCAAATTTCAAAACATGGATATTATATATACCTTTTTGCTACCATCGATTAGGGAAATGATCACAAAGAGCGATATAAAACACTTTTCTTAAGAGTCGGTATCCATAAACAATATACAGTAGTTTAGATGGTCGATCGAAACACTATGTTTTTTTTGGTCAATTTGTTCGTGAGAATTAATCATGAACATTATAATTAAAAGCCTAAAGTCACAAAAACATTACACTCCAAAAAGTTGATTCTATTACGAGATGTTTCTCCACGATATACAACAAAGTTTTTCACTTTCCTAGATATTATATATACTCATAGCAAAACATAACCGGAATCAGTAAACAATTATATCCACTCCATGAATGTGTACATACACCAACATGCATGGCAACATCCTCCACTATAAGAACCAAAGTCAAAACTTAGACTATATAACACACACAGCTGAATAAATTTTTATCATTTGGAATTTACCTCTTCATTCCATAGCATAACCATAATGACAATAATACCAACAGATGAGCGGTTGGTCGGGTAAAAAACCAGGGCATTTCATTATCGGATTTTCGTAGGACGGATTTCAATTCCTTGAATGATCAAGCCACATTTCCAATGAAGCTGCTCATGACTCTCTAAAGCACTCATCTTAATTTCATCACCATCGATTAGCCCTCCTTCATTGAAGAATTCCCCAAGCTCAATCTCCATCCACACATCTTGTCTCCTCATCATTCCCCGATCTTTACTTAGAAACTCACCAAAGCATATAGATCTTCAAGAAACCAAAGCGACGACGCATGCGTCTTGAGGACTTGTGAAAGAGATTATTAGAGAGATACATACCTCCGGTAAGGAATCGAACGGGGACGAGTCGGAAACGCTGTGACTTTTGTCGGAAGTTAAGAAGAGTTTGAAAGTCTGTCTTCTTGAGTCTTGCTACAAAACTACGAAAATGACCCTTAATTGCCAATAATGCGAGCGTCTCTTTCACGTTCCTTGTTTTGGTCATTGTATGTAGAGTTTTTGAGCGGATTCGTTTGGTTTAGAAAAATTCTAACTAACAAACCCATGTAGTCAATTTACGTACGCGTTACGGATAACTATAATAAAATTAATATATTTTGACTCGTTAAAATTAAATCTTTCTGGTCTTAGTTATGCTTTTTATATATAGTTTTTTTTTTAACATGAATGCTTTTTGGTCTTATAGTCATGTAGTCTTCGTTAATTATATGTTTAGGTTTGAGGTATCGTCTGTGAGCTTATAGAGTAAGCTGTATTATCGGAAGAAGATATCCAAACAAACCGTTAGATACCAAGTTTGGCTGGCCCGTTTGTACCGAGGACCGCTGCGTCACCCTCCTAAACGGATAAAAACTAGCTTACAAAATTTTATGTTTATACTAAAATCTTACGTAGTTTAATGAAACGAAGACTCCTATATAGTGGGTTTCCTTAACTATTTTATAAAGTATACGAATTTTTAGAAAAATAGGAAAAAATATATCTAGTTCTAGTATATATATCTACATATAGGTTAAAAAGATTAAAATAAATGTATGAAGCTAAATAAAGAAAAAAATCTTTAAAGATTTATTGTCCAGCTAAATATGAGCTGGAAATTTCTTTACGAGTTTAAAAACCTTTTTCTTACTCAGGTTTTCCTTCTTCTTTTTATATCCTTTTTTTATTTTAAATAAATTTATAGCTGTTTTTAATCTCTGTATATTTAGTTAAATGATTTTTTCACAACCATTGGAAACTAAAGATTTGAAAGAAAACCAATTTTTGACAATTAAAAAAACGGAAATAATTTTCAGAGAAAACTTTTGTTTTGGTAAACATTTTGAAAGATTTATTTTATTCTGGATTATCAATGATGAACTTTGAAGATTTAAATCTAATAACTTATCATAATAACATTTTTAACTACGATATTCATCTAACAAATTTGAGATTTTTAGACGTTTAAAAAATACACTAGATGCTACAATTTTTTTTTATAATTTAAGCTTTAGAGTAAATGAATCTAAAATTTAGTGTAAACTACAATCCAATGTTGAAATCAAATTCGGTTTAGTGTAAAGTAAAGATGAAAATTACATCTGAACTAAAAACCGAAACAGTTTAATTTTAATTATTAAATTCATCTTAACTGAAAAACATGAGAATACAACCAACCAAAAAAAAAAAAAAAATTACAACCGAACTAAACTGAACCTAGTTCAAGACTCCAAACTGATTAAAAAAAAAAAAAAACATAATGAAACCAAAAAAATGCAACCAACAAAACTACAACCAACCACAACCGAACTAAGTCACCAGTCAATCATTCCTCATTTCCTCTCTCCAAACATATGTTTTCTCATCCGCCGCCATCTCCACCTTACCAAGCTCAAACTCTGGTTGTGGCTGTTGTTGCTGCTGCTCTTGATTCTGACTCGACACACCTTCTTTATCTCTCGCCGGAAGAGTAGATGAAGCGGCATATTCTGTCACTGTAGCACCCGGACAGACCATCTCATGATGACCAGTATTTGTGATCGAATAACGGAAAAAGTTATTGACACAAGATATATGACCACCATTAATGGTGAAGTTGTTACCACAGTTCGTATAACTCATCTGAGAATTACTATTTGAGTTGGTAACATCATTTGGGGTGGTGCTGACGCCGTGGCCCGTGGCGGCGAAAATGGCTGGTTCGGCATTACGGAGGAGCCAACCGACTGTTTCACCATCGGTTTTGAAGCCGAGTTCTCTTGTCAATCTAAATACTTGGGGAGCAACACTCGGCGGGATACGAATGCGACGATCAAGGCCACCAATTTTCACATGGCGGTCTTTTGGAGTCCTTGTTGCCTTTTGCCTGTTGTTAATTTCATTTCTCGAATCCATTTTTTTTTTTCTCTGTTTGTTTTTTCTTTTGTAAGTGTAAGTGGAAAAATATGTTGTTTTACTTGGTTTATATAGAAAAGTTACATAAGAAAAACACAAAATATACGCTATTTCTGTTTATGTTATGTATGTAAAACAATAATGGTGTAACAAACTAATAATTAGATAATAATTACATTAATTTGTATATAGAAAAAGTCTTAAATTTATATAGGAATATGTGAGAGTGAAATCTTATCATGTAATCTTTAGAATACAAAATATTTTTAGTGGACCTGAAAAAAAAAAGTTATATAGGAATAATTAATTGATAGGTCCACTAAAGAAAGGAAAATAAAATTTTCTTCTACCAGTTTACAGAAATTAATTACTGATACAACTGTATAAGTGTGGTCTTATTTTATTCTATTTTAACTTTTAAAAAATTAAAGTTTTTGATTTTTTTCTTTTGAAAATTAATGATATTTTAACATTATTCTATAAAATTATATATTATTATTTTAAGTACATGTTTGGCTAGGATTTCACATCTTTTTGAATTTGTTCTTCAGATTATATATTTGTTTATTTATCTAGTATTAATATTATAATAAATCGGTTATTTACAGTTTAGATAATAATATATCAAGTAATATGATGGATAACAAACATATGGTTTAAAAATGTAAAAAAAAAAACTGATATCAGATAATAAAACTGCAATACTCTTTACCTGATTTGAAAGCAATATACTCTTTACCTGATTTGAAAGCAATATATATATATATATATATATTTAACAGATACGAGTTGGATACAGTGCCGCTCATATAGGGGCGGACGATGCGACGGTCTCGAGTGCAATCCCGTGTTCCAATAATTAATGTACCTATTTTTAAAAATATTTTTTTAAAAGTATTAATGAATTAGATTACAACATAAAAATAAAATTTAGAAGGACCCATAATTTTTTTTTTATCATACAAAATTTTTTTTATAGTAAAATAATATTAAAAGAAAGTTTTAAAGGACCAATTTTTTTTTTTGTCCTATGGTCTATAAAAGTGTTGAGCCGGCCCTGGTTGGATAATGGGTTTAAGACGGGCCGTCAAACACTTCTTAACGAGCTAGTAGAAACAATGAAATGCAAAATAATTAACCACAACAAGTACATAGAACAATCTGAAACACTTTTACAAACAATCGAGCAAAAGATAAAAGATCAGGTAAAAGAATTTAAAACAGTCTTATCTTGACTACTGCAACATTTTCTAACATACCACCTTTTTGCAACCTGGTTCAATCTTTGGGAATTTTTTTTTATTAGCATTGTCTATATATATTCACTCCAAAGATACTCATATTTTAAAAAATTCCTTTGTATTGGTCTAAAAATTATAAACGAAGGGTATATGTTAATTAATATTAATGATTGAGAACCTTTACACTTTGAGAGTGTAGATGCCAATCCCATCCGACCTAAGCGACTCATGATTTCCTGAACAAAAAGGCACATTAAAAAACTATTCTTTCAATTCACAGTCATTAATCTTTGAGACCTCTGCTTCACTCATGTATAGATTTGATTAGTTTGGTTTAAGAGAAAACTAATTTGTACTTAAAAATAATATGTATAAAACAAAAATATGATCACATACGTCTTATTTTATTAAAGCGTAACTCTTTTTTTTCGTTCTTTAATTTCTTATCTTGGAAATGCCACGGTCAAAACGCAAGCTCCAAAGATATGGTATTCTAGATCAGTTGAGATTTAAACAGAAGACAATGGATCATTTGCATAATTTATTAATTTTATTGAGAAGAAAAGAGATACAGAACTGAAGCATTTTTGAGAAACAAATGCACAAAAATGCATAGATCAAATAGAAATACTATAAGGAACACCCATTCCGGTAACGCCATGGTCAGAGAGGGGCTTCAAAAGCTCATACTTAACAACACCAGCTCCAGCTCTATTCTTTAGAGTAATGTTCACGTTTCTCTCATCTATCACTCCTTCTAGATATTCGAGCCTACCTTTGAATTTTTTAAATGCAGCATAGATGACAGGGTCATTGGCCCAAGTTGATTCTGGTTGCTCTCCAATGTACTCTTCGTCAGGTGAATGGGTTGATAAAAGATCCAAAGTGACCATCACTAGGGTCGCCTGTTTCTGCGACGGGTATGTCTTAAGCATAACTTTTTCTGGCGACTCATAGAACTCTTTTAGCTCTTCATCTGTCGGCTCTTCCACTGGCATTCTTATCCTTGTTGTCGTTGGTCGGTTGGGAAAGTATCCTCCATATCCGTACTGTCCAAAGTTTACAGCTGCATGGTGGCCTGAGGCGACCCATGCAATTGTAGTTACCACACCAATCAAGTCATCTTGTGTTTTGAGGACAGGCCACCAAGGTTCGTCTTTCTTGTCTCCGTGCCCTATGTTCCGCACTTCGCTCCACCACCCTTGAAGTTCCTCGTCCGATGTGATCAGTCCTTCATCTGGATAATAGTGTTTCACATAATCTGTCACCCATTCTTTAATTGCATCCCACAATATTAGACCATCATTCGCAAATGGGTAGTCTGGTATCCTCAGGCGTAGTCCATGTTCCGCGGTCTCATCTTCCTCAGCCAGCCCCCTTATAGCGGAAAATTTTTAATGTAAAAAGATTTGATTAGCTTTTTAATTTAGTTGTGGTTGTAATATTTAAAAATATGAAACAAACCTTCTAATGAGATCTGCGGGTAAGCCTTCCATGTCGAACCTCCATAGTTTATCATAGACGGCTGAACTTAGCTCTAATGAATACTTCCCGGGCCAAAAACAAGTCTCAATGATTCCACCTCCGTTGACAAGACTTTGGCGTGCACGAGAGTTGATCTCCATAGTGTAGCGGAAATGAGGATGCAAAAGCCTATAAATGGGATGCATGGCACTTAGTTGTCTATTTGCCGCTATTATGTATGGCTCCGTACAACAATGAGTCCTCAACCTGTAAATTTATATCCATCTCTTTACTAGTTAGCGCATGCATGTAATGTCATAGATAACGAAAAAATAAATCTTTTTTTTTCTGTCAATATATGAGAGGACCATCTATTTTGAATTAAATTAGAGTGTTTTCAATACCAGTGGGAAATAAGCTGGTGATAACCGGCGTCATGAGAAACAGCATGAGTCTTAGCAAGTTTCCATAGCCAGCGAGATGTAGCATCATAGCCTGGCGTGAAGACTTGTTTCCATTGGGGCTTGTTGATATTTGGGGGACAAGTCAACTCAATGGCAACAGGTCTCAATGTGCTATCATCGCTGAGGAAGAATAGTGTTCGAGAAGCATATAATGTGGTATTGTCCAACTCTCTCACTTTGTTCACATATGGTAAAAGTAAATCGTGATAATCCAACACGAACAATCTCTTACTCTTTAGAGCCTGCATACAAATGTATAATATCATTCATTAAGCAAATAATCCTTCAATCCATATACGTTTTTTTCAAAACATATCATTATAATCTTACCTCATCAACTGTCATGTTTCCTTTAACTTCTCTTTCCACAATTTCCCAAGTAATGAGTGAGGTGGGATCACCATAAACGGCTGGGTCTAGTTTGCTTTTTAACGGCCACTCCTGGAATTAACAATACGAGAAATTTTTATTTATTTAATCATCGTCATTCTTTTTTTTTTTTTTTTTTTTTTTACTAGCAACCAACTTTAGACATGCATATTGTATATTGTTTTCTTGGAAAAATCAGAAGAAAAACTATTAGTATGTAGCTTACTTCAACTAGCTGAATGCTATAAGGATTAAGGCCTGCAAGTGTCTGGCGAGCAAACTCGTCGTCTCGTAACCATGAAAATCTATCCCCTGAATCAATGTGAATGATATTAGAAAGTGAGTTTAGTTGTAGCCTACACATTATAGAAAATTGGAATACTATAATGAAAATTTAAAAAGGATAGAGTTTGGTAAGTACTGTCAATGAGAACTGGGGCTTCAAACTGAAGAATATCATCTTGAGCTTCACCAAGAGCTTTGATGATTCTGGGGAGCAGAGGTAAAAGGCCAGCATTCTTGGGAAGCTGAATACCTTCTTCAAAGAGATTTTGTATGGCCTTGAAATGTGGAAAAGGTGATTGGGGATCCAACAGAACAGACTCGATCTGCGGGAAGATGGAGGGAATAGCTGCCAGGACGGCCTTTCCTTTGAATGAAGTGGCCTTGGCTGAAGAGAACTCCTCGTCTCTTGGGACATAGAACTCTCCCCCGTAGCGTTGCTCTGAGGAGGGGTCAGTCTCACAAGGTTTGCGACCAGTCTTGCAACGCCTTGGGTAGGGATGTGCAAGGCCTCCAATTACCGGACGAGCAAGTTCAGGATCATTGTCAGGGTCACCCACATCGTTGTACACATCATAGTCGTAAATGCGCTCAAACTTGGTAAATTCACCAACTTGTTCGCGGTTCTTTCCTTGTAAGGTCTCTAGCTCCTCCTTTCGATACTTTTTAAGAGGCTCCGGTGTTTCGGAAGGCAAGTAAGACTTGTTGGAGAAGAATATCCGCTTGGTTGGGTCAACGGACTTGGGGGCCACCCATGACTCACATGTAAACGTAACTGACCCGCCAGGTAATTCAAGCTCCATCCCCTTGAGGAACAACTGTCTATGGTATTGGTTTTGAACCTTGATGGCCCCCACGGGTCCAAAGTCTTCAGGCATTTCAAACTCGCACTCGTACTTCTCATCAGGGGCTTCGGCCCATACGCGTTGTGCGTAGTCTTCTACCGTAATCCCTGAAATATGTGTACTTGGTTAACATTATTGATTGTAGTAACATAGTACAACTACAGATGTGGGAGCTAGCTTCTTTTTTTCTTTTCAAAAATTAATGTTTGATAAACTATATATGTACTAACGCATCTTGTAATGTTAAAAACGAAAAAAATCACATGTCTCAAATTCTGTTTGAGATGCACATAAATCGGTTAAAATTGTTTTTTTGGACTTTTCTAAGTCCTCCAGTTTTGTCACAAATGCTTGTATCCATTTATTTTAAATTTAAATTGAAAAAATCGTTAAAACGAGAGAAGTTATTTTTGTACTCACGCTGGTCAGTTTGGGCGCTAATAAGCTCGACAAGCAATGATCTGCCGCGGATATCAGCGATTTCATCGAGAGGTCTCAACCAAGTTATGCCCTCCAAAAACTCTTCTTGGGCCGTTATGTATCCCTTTACTTTGATTTTCTTAATGGGTTCTTTCACTATGTTACCTTCCTGTTCAATATTAGACCGTGAGGCGGTGACCTTACATCGTCTTCTGAGGTTTGGACGAGGTAGCTTGTTTCGACGTCCTGCGGAAATCAGGCTAGTGAGAGCTGATTGTTTAGGGAACAAAGAGCTGAGACTCTTTGCTACGCTCAAAGTCTGGAGACTCGACAACGATTCTCTACAAAACATTTTTTTAATCTCTTCTATCTGGCTTACCTTCCTCTGCCATATCCACTTCATCTATTTATACAAGTTTGAAATTATTTTTGTTGATACAGGTACGTTTGATTGGATACAATAATATATATTTTATTAAATGATTACACAACGTTTAAATTAAGAGTTACGAATAACAATAAATTCCATGAGAATGGTACTCTACGACGTTGATGTCCATGAGTTACATCTTAACTTCTTATGTGTTTATACAGGCATGTGACGCTTAGGAGCTAGGACCACTGTATCTAGCCAAGAATGCAGCTTTCGTTCATCTTTATGAATTTGCAATTATATAAAACCTAACTAGTTTTTGGTTCTACTTAAAATAAAACAAAAACAAAAATTATATCCTCTATTTTTAGGTAGTTACAGCCTGGTTTGAATTCGGACATGCCTATAACGTGATAAATTGGTATGTTCAGTTTTCTTTTCTTACATAGTAATGGAAACAAAAACAGGATAGCTCAACATTGTTTGTTCAAGAATAGATATTAGCTTATCATCAATGATCATCTTGAGAAAAGTGGAAAATGGTGATTCATTTCATGCCAAATTAGCATAGATAGTTATATTGTTATCTCCATAATGGTGATTAAGTATTTATTAATCACCAATTTTCGCATTGTTTGTATATCCATAGTCGGCAAAATATTCATATTTCATTAAAATATGAGAATCCACGATAACTAATAAATGCAAGTATGGATAGTTTGAAATATTGACATATTGTTTTGATAAAAGAGCCTTGACGAATACAAATGTTTTCTTTAAAAGATCTATTATCTTGATCAATTACGCGTACGAGTGGTCTCGTCTCAATAAAAGAAAGAAGCAAAGGATGTTACGTTATCATATTTGTTGTTTTATAGAGAAATGAGTACGAAAGGAAGCACGTTTTTGTTATTGTTGGGCAATTCAAACTAATACTGTACCTTCGAGCAATTTGACACCATACATTATTGGGAGAACCGGAGATCGATGACCCCACGACCGGGTATAAATGTCGATGACCCGACGGCTGGGTATTGTAGCCGCTTTGACCTCACGACCGGGTATAAACGTCATTGATGACCCGACGGCCGGGTATAAAACCGTTATTTTGAAGACTTGTCCAATCTCACACGTGTTACCACGTATGAGCTTGCCGGGGGGGGGGGAGGTATTGGGAGAACCGGAGATCGACTGAGATCGACGGTCGAGATGATCGCCCAAGATTATGGAAATCATGAAGATGAAGAAGGATCTAAAAGTTATCATAAGTTTAGGAAGTTTAACATTATCTCTAAATATATTATTTACATTTATATTTTTCTTAGATTAGGAAATCTCATTTCTATTTAAGAGAATGTAATTTATACCTTTAATCTTATGAGAATCTATTCTAATTCTTCCTAAAACACTTTTGTGTTCTTACTCTCATCAATTTATCATACGTGTCTCTCACAATCTCACGAGGACGCTAAACTCCTAGTAGTGACATATTAGTTATGTACGTACATACACTCAGTTATTGTTTTTCAGAAAATTTATTGAATTACCAATCAATGTAAAAAAAAAATTGTTTCCTAGTATTTAGGAAATTTTTGTTTTAGTTATTCAAGTAATGAAAAGAACTTGCAAGTTGCAACAAAGTCTAAAGAATTCTTCAAACTAAAAATTTGTATATTTGGATTTTCGGAAAGAAAAATAAACTTCTAAAGCAAAACTAAAACTAAAATCTAAAAACAAAATTAAAATAGGGACCATTCATTGCCATTGTTTGGAGTTTACTAAGATGCTCGATTCTCCCATGGATTGGCCGGGTTTCTCAAATGAGTTAGATGAATTCGATGAATTTGTTATTAAGGGTAATTGTATCAATCAATGTACAAAAACAACTCTATCTTTGTGGCACTCGAGATTGGGTCATCCGTCCGTCAGCCTCTATTTTAAACACTACTATCTCAAAGTTTTCACTTCCTGTCATTCTTCCTCTCCATCATTTTGAGCATGTTTCTATAACTCCACAAAACACTTTTAGAATTCGTCAAATCAAATATTCTCATTTTAAATAGAGTATCGGAGCGAAGCAATTTATATCTTTCCCAGAATAATTAATTTACAAGTTATATCATCATTGAGCTATAATTTCATACTGGTACTTTATACTATAGACTAAATTTCTACTGTAAATTAGTGTGATATAAAAAAAATCAACAACTATCTTTTTCCCTTTAATATTGAGGTAACTGTGAGTAAATGAGTTCTAATTAACATACTATTTAACTTTCAAACACTTCTTAACGAGCCAGTAGAAACAATGAAATGCAAATAATCAACCACACAAGTACATACAACCATCTGAAACACTTTTACAAACAATCAAGGAAAAAATAAACGATGAGCTAAAATAATTTAAAACATTCTTATCTTGACTACAACAACATTTCTATCATTCCACCTTATTGAAAAGATATATTAATTACAAGATCGGTGCAAAAGTACTGCTGGTTTACTCACAGCCAAGTCCAAAAGTATTTACCTTGGATAACTTCCTCCTCTTTCCTTTCTGTCTTTTAAGTTTTTATCTCGGAAATGCCACGGTCAAAACGCAAGCTCCAAAGATTTGGTATTCTTGAACGGTTGAGATTTAAACAGAAGACAATGGATGTTTTATTGATTTTATCGAGAAGAAAATGGATACAGAACGGAAGCATTTTTGAGAAAGGAAAATGCATAGATCAAATAGAAATACTATAAGGAACACCCATTCCGGTAACGCCATGCTCAGAGAGGGGCTTCAAAAGCTCATACTTAACAACACCAGCTCCAGCTCTATTCTTTAGAGTAATGTTCACGTTTCTCTCATCTATCACTCCTTCTAGATATTGGAGCTTACCTTTGAATTTTTCAAATGCAGCATTAATAACAGGGTCATTAGCCCAAGATGCTTCTGGTTGTTCTCCTATGTACTCTTCATCAGGTGAATGGGTTGATAAAAGATCCAAAGTGACCATCACTAGGGTTGCCTGTTTCTGCGATGGGTATGTCTTAAGCAACACTTTTTCTGGTGACTCATAGAACTCTTTTAGGTCTTCATCTGTCGGATCTTCCGTTGGCATTCTTCTCCTTGTTGTCGTTGGTCGGTTGGGAAAGTATCCTCCATATCCGTATTGTCCAAAATTTACAGCTGCATGGTGACCTGAGGTGACCCATGCAATTGTAGTTACTACACCAATCAAGTCATCTTGTGTTTTGAGGACAGGCCACCAAGGTTCGTCTTTCTTGTCACCGTGCCCTATGGTCCGCACTTCCTTCCACCATTCTTGGAGTTCCTCGTCCGATGTGATCAGTTTGTCATCTGGATAATAGTGTTTCACATAGTCTGTCACCCATTCCTTAAGTGCATCCCACAATATTAGACCATCATTCGCAAATGGGTAGTCTGGTATCCTTAAGCGTAGTCCATGTTCCGCGGTCTCATCTTCCTCAGCCAGCCCCCTTATAGCCAAAACGTTTAGTGTAAAAAGATTTGATTAGCTTTTTAATTTGATTGCGGTTGTAACGTTTAAACATAGAAAAAAAAAACACACACACACCTTCCGATGAGATCTGCCGGTAAGCCTTCCTTGTCGAACCTCCATAGTTTACCATAGACGGCTGAACTTAGCTCTAATGAATACTTCCCGGGCCAAAAACAAGTCTCAATGATTCCACCTGCGTTGACAAGACTTTGGCGTGCACGAGCGTTGATCTCCATGGTGTAGCGGAAATGAGGATGCAAAAGTCTATAAATAGGATGCATGGCACTTAGTTGTCTATTTGCCGCTATTATGTATGGCTCCGTACAGCAATGAGTCCTCAACCTGTAAATTTATCCATCTCTTTCCTAGTTAGTGATATATCACATGCATGTAAATGTAATGTATTAGGTACCAAAAATGTAATCTACTTTTTTTCTGTCAACAAAAAACCATATATGAGAGGATCATCTATTTTGAAATAAAGAATGTTTTCAATACCAATGGGAAATAAGCTGATGATAACCGGCGTCATGCGAGATAGCATGAGTCTTAGCAAGATTCCATAGCCAGCATGACGTAGCATCATAGCCTGGCGTGAAGACTTGTTTCCATTGGGCCTTGTTGATATTTGGGGGACAAGTCAACTCAATAGCAACAGGCCTCAATGTGCTATCATCACTGAGGAAGAATAGTGTTCGAGAAGCATATAAGGCTGTGTTATCCAACTCTCTCACTTTGTTAACATATGGTAAAAGCAAATCGTGATAATCTAACACGAACAATCTCTTATTCTTTAGAGCCTGCATACAAATGTATAGATTATTCATTAAGCAAATAATCCTCCGATCCATATGCGTATCTTTTCAAAAACATGTCAATAATCTTACCTCGTCAACTGTCATGTTTCCTTTAACTTCTCTTTCTACAATTTCCCAAGTAATGAGTGAGGTGGGATCACCATAAACGGCCGGGTCTAGTTTGCTTTTTAATGGCCACTCCTGGAATTAACAATACGAGAGATTTCAATTACGGTTAAGGGTTCACATTGTAAAAAAAAAGCATACTCTAATTAAAAAACGATAAATGAAAAGTGTTACTTCAATCTATGTTAAGAGTGAGATATAGAGTATCATTAATTGGAGATAGTTTTACTCCAAATATAGAATTTCAAGTAGGATTTAGAGTACCGTTGGAGAGGCCCTAAACTAATCTCTGTTTTTAGCTTTAATTTGAAACCAGAGTTTTTGTCCTTTTTTTTTTTTCTTTTTCAAATCATATATATGAAAGGAGGCTATCTCTCTCCATATGGTCGCCACGTCAGCATTTTAGGCTCTTCTGGAGATGCAACATCAGCTTTCTTTCCATCCAATCAAAACATTTCATTAATATGAGTCAGCTTTTATTTTTTACACATCAGCTTCTAATTATAAATGTCAAATGGGGAAAACACAATAGCCCATGAGGGATGGCCCATATGAATTTGAAAATCTAT